GTATTGTTCGATATATATATTGTCATTATCATCAGTTTAGTATTTTAAATATATTATTCATTATTATTTTCTTAACACACTGTTTCTCAATTATTCCGCCTATCACGAACCCGATCCGACAAGCGATTCAAACCCGCAACGAATCGCGGTTACATACTTTTATTTAGTTGCACAAAATAACTACGCTTACTTAACTCTAACAGTAACACTTATACAAGAGAAGAAGAAGGAAAGCTGTGATAGCGTGACGTGGCTATCTACACGGTCACGAGAAAAACACAGACCAACGGAAAACAAAGCTCGCGCGATCCGAACATGCTAACCTACTCTCGAACAAAGCCGTGACCGACTCGTGTACACGTGAGTTGACCTTGCTAGTCGGTACGTGGTACGACGTTGTTCACGTGCGCTAGCACGTGAACAGCACGATGAGCGCGGAATGTCGGACGCGGCGAGCGAGGAAAGGACGGCCCTTGAGGCTTCGCACGTCCCTTCGCTGGCCTGGCGCTGTCAGGCCACACCGCACAGTGTCCCGCTGACCTCGGCGAGAAGACGCTCAGTTGGGCGCGATTGAGAACTGCACGCGGCAATGCGTGACGTCACGGACACGTGAACACCACCGGCCGACTCGCCTGCCGAACACGTGATACACACGTGGCAGGTGAGCTTGCTTACACTGCTGCACTAATGAGCACTGCCCGGTGGCGAACTCGCCGGCACCTGAGAGTGCGCGGAAGCTGATGCACTAATGACGCGTATACTCTGGATCCACGCACGAGCGTGATCGATTCACTGCGGGCACGCGTGAGACGCAAGGCGCGATGCACGTGTGTCGGTGATGACACGCAAAAAGGCCGGGGATGAGCCTGCGGCTGATACGTTTGCTGCACAGTTGTGCACCGAGTACAAAATTATAAAACGCGAGCGTGGACAGAACTCGAAGCACCGAAAACGACGAGAGAATATGGTCGTCCGCGAGGCGAAGTGAGAACGTGGCCGGATCGACGGAGAAACGTGACGAACGGTTAGGTGGCTCGGGATCGACTAGACCAGTTACCGACTGGCACAGCGCGCACCTACGGAACGATCGCGAACACTTGGCGCGGCTGTAGCTGCTGTTTACATCTGCTGACGCTTGGCGACGGTTGCATATGCGTGCGCCCTTGCACATGTGAGTGTCGCGCGGGCTGAGGCGCCACACATGTAAGAGAAACAGATAATTTTTACTTAAACTTTAATATTTCGCAATTGTCAAAATATTAAAAATTGTCATCATTAAGCTAAAATATCAACATCATTTGTGATCATATATTTTTATGATCATTTTTATTTTAAAATTCAAACTTAAATTATATATATATGTACATTTGTGTATGTGTGTGTGTGTTGTACATAAAATTTTATTTCTAAAATATAAGTATTTATATAAAAATTTTTATATGGGTTTGTTATCTTTTATACTTTAAACCATCTCTTATATTATAAATCATATTTTTTATTCAATTCTATATTATGTTTAAAATTTGTCAAACTCTCACATATTTTATTTCTTTTTCATATAATAATATATAAATCATATAAATTCTTTCATATAAATTCTTATTTTATGGATTTATAAAAATGGATCTTTTATTGGATATATTTTTCTATGAAGATGACAATGATGCTGAATGTATTGCACAAGCTATTCGAGAACGACACATTAAAATACAAATGTATTATGAACATGTTATTATGGGATATTCATTAAATGATAAGTATAATATAAAAATTATTTAGTAAAGCAATTCTCATAAAAAGTAGTTAACCATTATATTAATTTTAATAAAAATTTTATCAAGAAGTATTCTAAAAAATAATATCAAATGCACAGCAAGTGATATTCTTAATAATAGTCTTTGATAATAATTCGTTTTGTTTTTATTAGTATTAATTCTGACATTAAATACACATTAAATAATTATAATGGAATATGTTCGTGTATACTAATATGGAATTTATTACAATTTACATTTCCAGACGCATTTCCGAGTAACAAGGGATGTATTCGAACAACTAGTTCAACTATTTGGACCAAACTTACATCGTGACATAGATCGTGAGAAAATATCCCCAGAAAAAAAAATTGCCATGGCTTTGTGGTTCTATGGAAATTAAGAAGTGTACAGGTTAATATTTTTATATTTGTTATATATAAAGTTTTATAATTTATTGATTTAATTAAATGTACAAGATAGATTTTTGTATTGAGAGTATAATACATTTGAAGTACATTGAATAATATTGAATACGTATGAACTGGGTGAGTACTGATGACCCACGTGCCGTTTAGCCATGGCATCCTCCAATTTGTCAATGATGATAGAATTCGTTCAATTAAAGAAACAGGATTGACTGTAAGCAATAGCAACTTGAACAAGCAGGACGCTCTCGTATAAATTCCTTTTGAATATCCAGACAATGTCGGAAAGTGAGACATAAGACGTCTTTAAGACATCTTGAAGACGACTTAGACGTCTTATATCCCAGTTTTGGGTATGTATGCTGTCTGTGTATTGAATGATATAAAAATATGGTAAAACATACTTTTATAAGACAAAATATTTTGTTTTAAGGGTGTGATCTTTATAGTTATTCATAGTATTCCATAAAATATCATAAAATAGTACTCTAAAAATAAAAATAGTATTTTTTTAAATATACTATATTTACTGTATTATTTAATCAATCATACATATTAAGCTTCGAATCTTATCTTACATAAAATTTATTAATTTCAGATCAATAGCAGATAGATTCGGAATTTCAAAAGACACCGTTTGGAGATCGATTTTTGAAGTAACTGAGGTGTTGGCAACCAACGCACGTCATTTTATTAAGTGGCCCACGATAGATCAAATGGCAAATATGGAGGAAGAATTTTATAAAATTACTGGTTTTCCTGGGGTCATAGGAGCCATTGACAGTTGCCACATTCAAATAAGTGCTCCAACACAAGACCAAATAGCTATATTAATCGGAAGAATTATTTTTCCATCTTACTGCAAGGCATTTGTGACTATACACTAAAATTTACGGACGTTTTTATTGGAATGT